TCAAAGGCGATGAGGCAGTGGGCGAAGTGATCTCCCGTGCTTTCCGACTAAGACGGAACTGTCTTACGTCACGAACGTCAGACAGTTCCGTCTTAGTCGGAAAGCACGGGAGATCACTTCGCCCACTGCCTCATCGCCTTTGATAATGTCCAGCGCAGTTGTGGACGAAACGTCAGGAAGAAATTCCCATAGACCACGGCTTCAAAGCGCGGAAAACATTCCTAAATGTGATTGAAAGCTACTGTTGAAGGAATAAATACCAAGCGCAGTGGACCGGCGAATAGACGTTGCCGTCCAGCTCCTTAAACAGGCCTTTGGATAGAAGGTGCTCCACGCAATGAGCGTGTCCTGAAACAACGCAAAATTGCCTCAGACGGCTTTGGCTAAGCGAAAGCAGTACCGTGATAGCAGGCCCAATGCAGAACCGTGCAGTCCTGGTTGTCCCTGCTAACAACGTCCGCTTCCTTCATGTACTGGAGGATGAGCTGCAGGCAGGTTAAATGCCCACAAGCCCCGGCTAGATGCAGCACAGTTTTCCCGTTCACATCCCGGGCACTCACTTCCGCATTGCTGGCCAGCAGGAGTTGGACGATGTCGTCCTGCCCATTCACTACCTGAAGCCGCAAACAGCCCGGTTACCAACCCTGTCAAGATCAACAGCCTGATGCCTTACAGCTCTAAACAAACAGGAATGCTTGTCAGCATCCACCAGATTTGGGTCCGCTCCGCACTGCAGGAGCACTTGCACGCACTCCTTGTGATTTCCCGACACGGCAAACATCAAAGCGGTCCTCTGTTGCCTGGAACCAATCAACTTAGTTAGCTAAGAGCAAGCTCTACCCGCCAGCTCTACCTGTCGACCATGTTGATCACGCTGAGATCGTCGCTGTTGTGCAGCAGCAGGGTGAGACACAGCGATTGGCCGCTCTTTGCACTGTAATGCACCGCGTTCATCTGATTCACGTTGTCGCAGAGCGACACTTTGGCCCCGAAGCGCAACAGAACGTGCATGCATATATTGAAGCCCTCTCGGGCCACCAGAATGAGCGGCGTGATTCCTGCATGTTCGGCATGGTTCAGTTGGGGGATGAAAGGAAGTTTGGCTCTACCCTACCTTGTTCTGTTTGAATGTTTACGTCGCTGTATTTGGTTAACACCGCTTTGAGCACGTCGACGCTTCCCAGTTTTGCCTGAAAAGTGATTAAACAATTTGAGTGCATTGCTTATGTGTTTTCATTATTTTTTTCTAAAAATGGGTTTCTGTCCTTGATATATTGTTCATACTTTCCTGACTGTTTCAATTCCAAATCAAAATCAGTTCCTGGGCGTCAGTCATTTATTGTCGATTTATCAATTAAAATACGTTTCGGTGTTTTCCACCATCATCAGTTTCTATGTGTAGCGTTGTTGCTACTTTAAGCCTTGGCATATATTTTTTCTGAAAATATATGCCAAGGCCTCAAGAATTTCCTCACGTCTTTTATTACAGATTGAT